AGGGGAGCAGAGGCCTGGCTCAGGGAGGGGAGCAGAGGCCGGGCACTGAGCAGCTCTGTGCCCAGAGGTGCTGCTGGCACGGGGATCCTGCCCAGCCAGGCCTCGCTGCTGCCGCTGCTCTCGGAATGCCAGGGTGGCTTCCCCCGGCCAGGAGCCAGCGGGACGTGCCAGGGCCTGTGGCAGGGCCTGTGGCAGCCCTGCCGCCCCTCTGGGTGTGCCAGGGCCGGGGTGCTGGCAGGGGGAGGGTGTGGGAGCCGCGGCACAGCGCTCCCAGAGCAAACACGGGTGTTGGGAAAGCGCTGTGGGTGGCTGGCTGGGGACACCCATCCCATCCCTGGCAGGTCCCCGTGGGTGCTGCTGTTTGCCAAAGTGCTCTGTGGGTGTCTGAGCCCACACCCAGGGTGCCTTCCTTCCTCTGCCACGACAGAGGGGCTTGGGTGAGGGGTCTGAGGACAGGTGACAATCTAGGGAGCTGTGTCCCCTGTCCCCAGACCTCTCCCTCACTCGTGGGTGGCTTTGGTGGTGGAGCTGGAGCACAGAATGCCCTCTGTGGCCCTCAGTGCTCCGTTGTGCTGGCAGGGAATGCTCTCCACAGCCCCCAGCACGTCGGGGAGGCTTTCCTCAGCCTGATGAAGGAGCAAGCAGGCGGCTGAGGCAGCTCCTGAGTGTGACACACCAGCCCTGTATGGGTGTGAGGGGTCAGGACACCCTGTGGCATCACCAGCGTGGGCTTCCCACCCTCTGCTCATCCCTGGCACTCCTCTCCTTGCCACCTCCTGATCCCCAGAGCTCCCTCTTGCTCCCCTGGCCTTGCCACCAGGGCTACCAGGCAGGGAGCACCAGTGGCCCCCAGCATCCCCTCAGCACCCCGGGGAGTCCTGCTGAGCCCGGGGACATTTAGTCACCTTGGATGTTTGACTGCAAGCCTTGTTGCAACCTCTGCAAATAATCGACTTTTGCTTTTCCATTTACTTAAACCTTGCTAATTGGCCCTGCTGTTAATCAGGGAAGAATGAGTGACTAAGCCCTCTCGCCTGCCCAGGGACCAGGGGCTCCTTTTTTCCCATGGACTGAAAGGAAACGAAACCTCAAAATGTCCTTTTAAATCTCAGCTGTCTGCATGGCTGCCCAGAGCCCTGGCCAGAATCACACAGCTTGAGAGACAGGAATTGCAACAGAGGTGCTGCATGGACGCCAGGAGAGCAGGCCAAAACCCAGGCTGAGGAATTGCTGGGCCGGGATGAGCTGGGGCCACTCACTCTTTGCTGGGAATTTGTTCAGTTTCCAGGGGTTTCACCCTGGCACAGCGTGGTGCTGGTCTGTGCTTTGCTCCCATGGCTGGCAGTGCTGGCACCTCCTCAGGGATGGGTTTGTCCCTCCTCGGGCAGCATTTTCCTCTGGAGCCGCTCATCCCATGAGGATTTGCAGCACCCCACAGCAGAGCTGCTCCTTGTGCTGTCCTGGCTGCCAGCACAGCTCTGGGCCGGCTCCTGATGGAGATTTGGGCTCTTGCTGGAGATTTCTGGCTCCTGCTGGAGGTTTTTGGCTGCTGCCAGGCTGTGGGGGCTGTTGTGTCTGGGTTCGTGCCCCCAGCATCATGCTGACTCCAGCACTGGGATGCAGAGCCAGGATCCGTCCTCCCCGCGCCCATCGCCAGCACTCTGAGCTGTCAGAAATTGTTGGAGGAAACTCAAATTCTTCATTTTTCACAGGCTCTGGGGCAAAGTTGACTGGGGAGTTCAAAGTCGAGGCCCTGTGTGCCAAAAGCAGCTCGGGGGGAGTTGTTTCTCCAGCCTTGGGATGTTCAGGATGGGGTTTGGGTGTGGGATCTGCATGTGGGGTTTGGAGCAGGGGTGGGGAGGGGGCTGAGTGGGTCAGGGTGCCCAAGGGGCTCCTCTGGCCACATTGGGGCTGGAAAAGCCCCGTCCCTGCTGCTGGAGGTGGGTTTGCAATGCGCCCCCAGCCCCTGCATTGAGGGGCTGCTGGGGCAGGGGCTGCCTGTGGGATGATGGAGGGGATCTCCTCCAGTGTGGGGTGCTGGGGGGTACCTGGCAGCTCAGGCTCTCCCAGCACCTTGGACTCATCCCAGACTGGAGTTTGGGGTCCTGGTGGGGGTCCCTGCCTCCCATGGGTGAGTGTGGGGTGTCCAGGCTGTGCTTTGCCCTCACTCCCACCCTAATCCCAACCCTGCTGCAGCACGAGCTTTGTGGGATGGCCCTTGTGGGGTCCTTCCAGGGGGGTCAGGGGGGTGTGAGTGATGTTTGGGCTGGGGAATGGGGGGATGCCCCCAGTCTCAGCCAGCTGAGGAGGCCAGAGCAGGACCAGGAGCTGCACAAGGCACAGGAAGCCTCGGCACCGCCGGAATCGGTTCAATGTCAGGAATTTCCTGCCGGGGAGAGGAATCCATGAAATTAGTGTGAAAGGCCAAAAAAAGAGATCATCCTGACCCTGAATCGGGCCCTGGGCTGCACGGGGAGGGCAGGAAGCAGCGGGTTCTGCCGTGGTCCCTGCACCAAAGGCTGTTCCAGCAGGCAGGAGGGTGACTGGGGATGGGTCTGGTTGGGTTCTGAGGGGTTCCAGACCCCAAACCCAACCTGTTCCTAACGTGGCTCTGCTGTCCCCTTGCAGAGAAGACGGGGAAGGTGCTGGGCGAGTTCTGCCGGTGCTACAAGGAGCAGTTTGGAGTAGCTCTCTTCAACAGCGTCCGCTATGAGATCGAGGGCACCGGGGGCCCGCAGGCCCAGCTGCTGCACCGCAAGGTAAGGGCTGCATCCCCCACATCCTCCTCCTTCCCACATCCCCTCGCCCTGTCCTGGGTGGAACGTGGCCCTGTGCCCCTGCTCCAGCCCGTCCCTGGGGCTGTGCACTGTGGCTGGTTCTTTGCCACCCCACGGCAGCAGCACACGGAGCCAGCAGGGTAGGATGGCTTTGGAGGGCTGTGCTCGGTGCCAGGAGCTCAGAGACCCCTCAGAGAGCCCTGAGTGAAGTGCCAGGGAGTGTCCTCCTTCTCCTGGGTGTGAGTGATGCTCCCAGCTGGGCAAATCCCTAGGGAAGAATAGGAAACCCCTGCCAGGTGTCCCTGAGCCCAGAGGTGGCTCCGAGTCTGATCTGCAGCGGCCACGTGGCTCCTGCCTGGCTAAAGGGATGGGATTTGTGGCTGTGGCTTCTGCAGGGGATCCTGCCTTCCCCTCCCTCCTCCAAAGGCAGCTGCACCTCAGGTGGGGCTGCTCACATGGCTTGGGGACCACCCTGGGATGCTTTCCTTGGGGTCCTGCCTGGCCAGGTTGGTGGAGCTGCTGTCCTTGAAAGCAGGAAGAGATGGGATTGCACATGGCCACAGGCTTCTGCTTTTGTCTGGGGCTTGAAGGGGTGGCTCTGTTCAAGAATCGAGGAAATGCCTCCCTGAGCTCAGCCTCACGCCCTGGGTGCTCACAGCCCTCAGTCCCTGACCCACCCATGAAGGTGACACCTTGCCCAGGCACCAGAACGTGCCCCATCTCCCCGGGGACCTGCCTGGGTGCTGGGTGTGTTAATAAAAATAAAGGAGTGGAGGTTCCTGGAGCTGGGGCCTGGTGTCCTCAGCACCCTTGGGTTCTTTGGATGCCTTCATCCCCCCTGGGAGGTGCCTCCATCCCCAGGTTGGTTGCTTCATCCAAAAGCTCCAGCAAGCAGCCCAGGAATGTCTGAGGGACAGCAGCGAGGTCAGGAGGTCAGGGACACTGCAAGTCTTGGAAAAAACCCGTGTATAAATAGGAATTCCTCCTGCTCGGTGTCCTCTGCTGCCCAGCCCCTCCCAGGGTCCTGGCAGTGACATTGGGACATGTCCCAATACTCCAGACACCACAACAGTGAGGGATGAGCATCTCCAGCTGCACTTTGTGCTCCCCAAACATTCCCCAAAAGGTTGTGGATGGCACGAGGATGGAGGGTGTCATCCTGCCTGGCCTCAGCTGGGATGTTGCACTTGGGGTTTTTAAATGTTTGTTGTTTATTCCCCTTTCTTTTGTGAGCTCTGTGGTGCTGGGGGCAGTGACACCAGGGGTGACACTGGTGGCCCTCCTGGGCAGAGGGGGACAGCAGGAATGCTCCTGCTGACCCCCAGCCCTGCAGGGCTTGCTTTGGGCTTCCTTTCCCTCTTCCAAGGGCTTTGGGATGCAGTGAGGAGCAGCCAAGCTGCTGTCAGACCTCCCCCAGCCCAAGGGGGTGTGTGGTCAGGGAAGGCAGCGAGCCAGAGGAAGGGCAGAGCAGGGAGAAGAGTGGGAAAAGCTCCTCCAGAAGGGTCCTGCTGCTGGGGCAGGTTGGGATCCAAGCCCTGGCTGGTCCCTCCTGGTGGCCACCATGGTGGAGGGTGGGTGGCCACGGCAGCAGAGGCGGCTGCAGCACGCTCCAGCCCTCACGAGAGCTCTCAGCTCTTGTTTATGTTCCTGGGATCATAAAAATTCCTGGGATAAATTCTTGGCTCCCTCGGGCAGGCTGTGTTTGGGGTGGTGTAAACGCTGCTGGCTAAAAGGTGCTGGAGAGCTGGGGAGGGGCTGCACAGCTCGGGGGGCATGGGCTGTCCTTGGCCTGTTCCTGTCATGGAATCATGGAATGGTTTGGGCTGGAAGAGACCTTAAAATCATCCAGTGCCACCCCTGCCATGGCAGGGACACCTCCCACCATCCCATGCTGCTCCCAGCCCTGTCCAGCCTGGCCTTGGGCACTGCCAGGGATCCAGGGGCAGCCCCAGCTGCTCTGGGCACCCTGTGCCAGGCACTGCCCACCCTGCCAGGGAACAATTCCTTCCCCAAATCCACTCAAAATCTCTCTTAGTTTAAAAAAGCTGTCACTGGTCCCAGTGAAGTCCAGAACATCTGAGCATCGTCTGGTGCTGGGCTCCTTGGGGTGGCTTTTCCTCTGCCCTGTCCCATCTGGAGACACTGCTGGGCTGGGTTTGGTTCCTGCCAGCTGCAGATGCCCCCAGCCAGGGGAATTGCAGGGCTGGGAAGAGCAGCTGGAGAGTTCTGCTCCAACCTTCCACTCAGCCAGGGGAGCTGGAGTGGCTCAGCAGGACAAACCTCCCCTCAGAGGAGCGCTGTGCCTGTGGTGCCCCTCAAAGCATTGCCCAGATGCACCAATTCAGGCACCAGAATTTGCTGTGGAAGGGAATCCAGCAGAGACCCTCGAATGGCCCCACCCAGACCACCATGGATGGACCTCACTGAGCCCCCCGGGACAGAGCTGTCCCCTCCCTGATCCCCCGTGCCTGTCCCTTCCCTGCAGGTTCCACTGGAGGACCACGTCATCTACTCAGGCAACATCTTCCAGTACATCGAGGAGAACAAGAAGTGGAGGAACCGCTTCTGCATGGTGCCACACAACTACGGGCTGGTCCTCTATGAGAACAAGCTGGTGAGGACAATCCCCCTGTCACCCATCTCCAGTGGGGTCATTCCCCAGGGGACTCCTCGTCCATGACCATTTCTCCTGCTCAGGCCTATGAGCGGCAGCTGCCACCCCGGGTGCTGATCAACAGTGCTGGCTACAAGATCCTCACCTCTGTGGAGCAGTACCTGGAGCTGGTCAACAACAGCCTGCCTGGTGAGGGCCCTGTGCTGCTGGGCAGCCCTTGGGGACCTTGGGGTGGGTTTAGGGGGCGTGATCCCTGAGGACCTTCAGAAAAAGGTGATTTTGGGGTGTCCTATCCATGGAAACCTTCAGAAAAAGGTGATTTTGGGGTGTCCTATCCACGGGAACCTTCAGAAAAAGGTGATTTTGGGGTGTCCTATCCACGGGAACCTTCAGAAAAAGGCTATTTTGGGGTGTAGCATTCCTGAGGACCTTCTGGAAAAGGTGTAGAATCCCTAAAGACTATCTGGAAGGGTTTTTTTAAGGTTTTAAAAGACCTTAAAGACCTTCTGGAAGGATGTAGCATCACTGAGGACCTTCAGAAAAGGGTGATTTTGTGGTGTGGCATTCCCGAGGACCTCCAAAAAGGTGGGTTTGGGGCATGGTATCCTTGAAGACCCTCAGAAAGGGGTGGTCTTAGGGTGCAGCATCCCTGAGGAGCTTTTGGAAAGGGTGGGGTTGGGATGCAGCATCCTTGAAGAACTTCTGGAAGGGGTAGGTTTGAGTGTAGCATTCCTGGGGATCATTGGAAAGGGGGCACAGCATCCCAGGGATGATGGAAAGGATCATTTTAGGGTGTAGAATCCCTGAGGGCCTTCTGGAAAAAGCGAGTTTGGGGTGTAGCACCCTTGAAGACCTTCAGGAATGGGTGTTTTTGGGATATAGTGTCCCTGGGCACCTTTGGGAAGTGGTGGTTTCGGAAAATGTGCCCGTGGCTCCGTGAGAACCGCGTGAATTTTAATTACTTTTAATTTTACTTTTCAATTTTCATTCTGGTCCCCTTTTTGGAAAAATGAAGAACAGCTTTTGGAACAACTCCCAGCACAGGCTCTGGGAAGGAGCTGAAGGGTCTGTGTGTCCCTGCTGGACACCCTCAGCTTCCCCATCCCTGTCCAGCCCCATCTCCCCCTCAAACCATCCCCGCCTTTCTGCAGGTGTGACACCGAAATCTGGGCACTCGTCCATCCTGAAGTGCCCCACGGATTTCCCGCTGATCCTGTGGCACCCCTATGCCCGGCACTATTATTTCTGTGTGATGACGGGCAAGGAGCAGGAGAAGTGGCGGGCGGTGTTCCAGGACTGCGTGAGGCACTGCAACAACGGTGAGTGACACCTGGGGACACAGCAGCGTCCTCCTGCCCCACAGAGGGACCCTGCAGAGCCAGGCTGGGGTTTTGGGGTGCAGGAGATGGTTTGGAGCTCATGAGGAGGAGTTGGGTGGGAGTTGTTGAGTGATTTGGGATCCTTCCAAAGCCTGAAGGGGCTCCAGGAGAGCTGGAGAGGGACTGGGGACAAGGGATGGAGGGACAGGACACAGGGAATGGCTCCCAGTGCCAGAGGGCAGGGCTGGATGGGATCTTGGGCAGGAATTGTTCCCTGGCAGGGTGGGCAGTGCCTGGCACAGGGTGCTCAGAGCAGCTGGGGCTGCCCCTGGATCCCTGGCAGTGCCCAAGGCCAGGCTGGACACTGGGGCTGGGAGCAGCCTGGGATGGTGGGAGGGGTCCCTGCCATGGCAGAGGGTGGAACAGGATGATTTTAAGGTCCCTTCCACCCCAAACCAGTTTGGGATTCCATGACTGAGCATCTCATCCATGCCAGCATCACCCCCAGCTCCCTGGAGCATCCCTGTGCCCAGCTCCATCCTCTGCCCATGAGGACACCTGCCCAGGGAATTATTTCCAGGAGTCAGCACGGAGCCTGGCTCTCCAGAGCTGCCCTGATTCCTATTTCCCACCCTGAGGGAGAAAATATTTATTAATTAAAGTGATCAAACCCCATCTCCCCCTGAGGCCCGCCGGGGCTGTGGGCAGGGGGTGCAGGGCTGTGCAGCCGGGTGGAGACAGGACCTGCCTCCCACATCAGTGATACTCTGGCAGGAAAACACGATTTTCCTGCTTGGCTGTGGCCTGGGCACTCCTGGGCTGAGCCCCAGATCCTGGCCATGCTTGGAATGGTGAGAAATTTCCTGAGGAAGGCGGTGCCAGAGCAGAAACCTGCTCAAAATCAGGTGTTTTAGTGGGCATTTTAGATGCTGCCCATTTTCTAAATTCTTATTTCGTTCCTGGGAACCCTGGGTAGCCTCAGTTTTGCCTCAGTTTTGCCTCAGTTTTGCCAGAGTTGCTGTAATAGGGTGGGATCTGGTGGGATTCCATCCTCCCATGTTGGATTAAATCTCCTACAAAACTGCTCTTTTCCTTTTGATTTTGTGCTGGGGGTCTCTGAGCTCCTTGGGCTGAATGTGTCCCTTCAGTCCAGCCAGGGCCTGGGCTCCTTTGTGTGGGGCTGTGACCCCTCATCCCCCTGAGGATCATTTCTGGGTGAGCTCAGCACCCCAGACCCCCCCGTGCTGGCTGCACCAGCAACTGTGAGCAAAACCCCTTCTGGATAAAAGAGGAATCCTGCTAACAGCACCCCAATTTTTATCTCTAATTCCCCCTGCTCCCACCTGCTGGGTGCTGCTGTGGGACACAGGGGAGGTGGGAGCCCCTTCACCACGCTCTCTGCAGCCACAGTCATGCCAGAAAATCCTCTCCTCCCTCTCCTTCTCCTCAGCATGTGATGGAAAAGCCTTCCCAAGTGGGCAGTGGCCAAGGAGGGCTCAGTGCCGGGGCTTCTGCATTCCTCCAGCCCGGATTTGTCTGTGACATTGTTCCTCCTGCCCCTCTCTGCTCCTGGGAGCTCCAGGATCCTGTTTCATATTCCATGAAGGCTCTTTTGTTGTTGTAAAGCACTTTAGGTTGTTTGGGTTTTTGTTTTTTTTTCCTCTCCCTAAATTAGAGGCTCTGTTTCTGCCTCTGGTTGTGATTCGTGTGGGAATTTTCACCTCCCTTTCTCAGGCTGTGTTTGTGTAACAGCAGCTCTTGTGAAAGGAGTGGGATGTGCAGCTCTGTTCCTCACAGGGTCAGCCTGCTGTCCCTGGAGCCTCTGGCTCCTCCAAAACTGTCCCTCATCCAGTTTGGTGTCACCTGGGGCCAGGCAGTGCCCACCCTGAGGGCTCTTGCCTCTTGTTGCAGGATGGTTCGAGTTAACCCAGGCTGCTCCCAGCCCTGTCCAGCCTGGCCTTGGGCACTGCCAGGGATCCAGGGACAGCCCCAGCTGCTCTGGGCACCCTGTGCCAGGCACTGCCCACCCTGCCAGGGAACAATTCCTGCCCAATACCCATCCAGCCCTGCCCTCTGGCACTGGGAGCCATTCCCTGGCTCCTGTCCCTCCAAGCCCTAAATCACACATTGATGAAGGAAACTCATTAAATTTGCCCTGTGAAGTGGCACGGGGGCTTCTCAGGGATGTTCCCTGGCTCAGCCTGAAGTGAGTGGCCTTGGGAAGGTTCTTTGGTGGCAAATCCTGTCCCAGGCCCTGTAGGGACAGAAGGGGAGAAGTTGTCCCACCTGTGAGGGGATCTGAGCCCCCAGGAGCTGTGGATGGAGCAGCACCAAGTCCTGGATGCTCAGCCCAGCTCTGGCTCCCACCAAAGACTGAGAAAGGAGCAGATTTTACTTTCTCAGTGGTTTTTGCCCCTGATTATTAAGCTACCCCTTAGCAAAAGCTGCTTAGGCTTGGAGTTAATTGTAATCGCCTTAGAAAAGTCTGTGTGCCCTGGGAGAGATCTGCTCACTGCCCCAGGCTGTCCCCTTGGACACCTGGCCGTGTCCCCAGCACTGCCAGCTGGTGTGGGACGTGTCAGCACCGCAGGGATGATCCCCTGGAGCCTCCCAGCAGGGTCACCCTGGCTCAGATCCCATCCTGATCCCCTCCTCCGGCCATGGGGGTGGAGGGTTCCCGCCTCCCATCCCCTCCCAGGGGTGTTTCCCCGTCTGGGAGGGACCTCCACAGCCCGGACAGGCTGGGACAAGGCAGGGACACGCATGGGACATGTGGGACAGCTCCTGGGCTGTCCTGCCTGCCTGCTGTCCCCATCTCCCAGCCCTTCCCCTCCTCCTGACGGGTGCTGTGGCAGTGTGGGGGTGACGCCTGAGCCCCCCTCGTGCTGCAGTGACTCACCCTGGCACAGCCCGGCCCTGACTCACTCCTGAGGCCTCTTGGCCACTTTCCTCTTCCTTCCAAACCACACTGCTCCCGACAGGGCCCCTCTTCCTCCAGCCCCCCCAGCTGGCCCATCCCACAGTGCTGGGTGCTGTGGGGTGCTGGGGGTCACTGAACCCCCATCCTGGTGAGCCCCTGCTGCTGCTGCTGCACCTTTGGAACTCACTGAGCCTCCAGGACTCCATCCATCATTTGGGGGTCACTGAGCCCCCATCCTACCCAGCCCCTGCTCCTGGGTGTCTCCCTGCCCCGGGGTGGCTCTGGAGGGGATCCCTCTGGACGTAGCAGGAGCCCCCCAGCCACTGCTGCCCCCCACCCTGTCGGGTCCAGTGGCTTGGAACAGCATCCCCCAATCCTGGTGACAGCCCTGGGGGCTTGCACGGCTCCCAGAGTCTGGGGGAACCACACAAAGGTGGGCTGGGGGTGCCGGGCTGCCCCTCATTCCCAGTTCCAGGCTGACCACTCGTCCTCCTCTCCCCTCCACAGGGATCTCCGAGGATTCCAAGGTGGAGGCTCCAGCCTTCACGGACGCCATCCGCATGTACCGGCAGTCCAAGGAGCAGTACGGCACCTGGGACATGCTCTGCGGGAACGAGACCCAGGTGAGCACCCGCACCCCAACCTGGGCTGGGAGGGCTCTGGGGGGCTGAGCAGGATCCCCAAAAACCTCCTGCTTCCACAGGTCCTGAGCAACCTGGTGATGGAGGAGCTGCTCCCCGAGCTCAGGAGCACCATCGCGCCCCGGCTGAAGGGCAAAGCCCCGGAGCGGCAGCGGACCTGGATCCAGGTGTGGGGCTGGGGCTGCCCGGGGGGGTCCCCATCTGCCAGACCCTGCTTTGGGGGGCCTCCCTTCACCGCCTTCGCTGCCCCTTCTCGCGGCCCCTGCCAAAGAATCCGTCCTTTCTCCGCAGAGGTTTTTTAAAGCTCCTTCTGTGCCCCTGCCCAGCCCTGCCCAGCCCCGCCTGCTCCGCGTCCCCGGGGCCAGGGAAGCGAGCAGGAGGAAGCCCAGCCCCGGAGCAAAGCCCGTCCTGGCTAAATTTAGCGAGCTGTTTTTAGAACAGCGCGGGCTAAATCCAGCCCAAAGCCTTGCGAAAGACTGAGGGCTCTTCAGAACTGCCTGTTAAAACCTTAAACTCCGATAGATAATTACCACCAGGCTCGTAATGGGCCACTTGAGCGGCCTGAAAACACACAAACGCTGCTTTTCCAGTAGCTGCGGTGGCCGGGAAGCCCGGGGGAGGGAGGAGGGGCAGGGCTCTGCATCCTGCCAGTCCCGCCAGCCCCAAAATCGCAGCCTTTGGCAGCAGAGTGAGCGTGAAGCCACAGCGAGCGGCTCCATCCTGCTCAGGAGGTTGGCTCTAGGACCCCAGGGAGGGTGAACAGGGACAGATTTTGGGGTGGTCTGGGGCTCTCCTGCTTGGACCACCAGCATCCCCAGACCTGCAGCATCCCCAGAACTTCAGCATCCCCAGACCTGCAGCATCCCCAGACCTTCAGCATCCCCAGACCTGCAGCATTCCTGGACCACCGGCACCCCCAGCCCCACCTGGGGCAGGCTGTGCGATGGAGGCAGCGCTCACCTCGCTGCCCCTCCAGCACCACTTGGAGCAGTTTCTGCACTGCAGGAGCTCCATCTCACCCAGCTGGGGGTTCCTGGGGTGGCTGTGGGGCAGGGTCCTGTCAGGTGCTGCAGGTGATGGTTGGGGGTGCAGCTGGAGGTGTGGGGGGGTCTCTGACCCCCCTCCTGTGCCCCCAGGTGTCGGATGCTGTCTATAGGATGGTCTATGAGCTGGCCAAGGAGCAGTACGACGCAGCAGTGGCCAGGTGTGAGCAGGAGCGGCCGCAGCTGGAGAGCACCATCCGCACGGACATGGACCAGATCATCACCTCCAAGGAGCACCTGGCCAGCAAGATCCGAGGTACCTAACCCTAACCCTAACCCTAACCCATCCCCTGCAGGGATGTGGGGCTGTGCCCACGGCTCCTGGGGTGTGTGCAGCACAGCCCCTGGCACCCTTCATGGCATTGTCCCAGAAGGTGGAGGACGAGGTGGGCAGTCACCCTCCAGGTGTGGCAGGAGTGGGATCAGTACAGAGCAGGGACACTCTGCAGGAATTCCTTGTGTTGTCATGAAAGGGGGAGCCTCCTCCTGGCGGGGCTTTGGGAACAGGGGCAGCTTCTCCTCCCTGGGGTGGTTTAGGATGTGCTGTGAAGGGCTGGAAGGACAGAGGAGCCTCACCATCCTTATCCGTGCTCTTTCCCAGCCTTTGTCCTGCCCAAGGCGGAGGTCTGTGTCCGTAACCACGTCCAGCCCTACATCTCCTCCATCCTGGAGGCCCTGATGACCCCCACGAGCCAGGGCTTCGCTGAAGTGCGGGAGGTGTTCTTCAAGGAGGTGACTGACATGAACATGAACGTTGTCAACGAGGGAGGCCTGGAGAAGCTGGTGGAGGTGAGACCTGGTGGTGCTCCTTGCCACCTCACGGGTGACAGGGCCAGTCCTGCTGCCACCCCCAGTGTGGGCCGCAGGCTGAGAAGGTTCCACCCACGTGGGGTGGAATGTCCCTGCCCTTAGTACGTGGAGAGGCTGAGCTTGGCTTTGTCCCCAGTACATGGAGAAGCTCTCCCACCTGGCCTTCCACCCCGTGAAGATGCAGTCGTGCTATGAGAAGATGGACCAGCTGAAACTGGAGGGTCTTCAGCAGCGATTCGATGTCTCCAGCACGTCCGTCTTTAAGCAGAGGGCCCAGATCCACATGAGACAGGTGAGATGGGAAGCAGGGTTCCCCCCTGTCTCCCTGGGCTGGGAACAGAGGTTTGGGGAGCCCTGGCTGTCCAGCCCAGGCTGGGATGTCTGTGCTGTCTGAAGGGTGGAGGATGGAGCTCCAGACCCATGGTGGGCTTGGGCATTCTGGCACCAGCAAGGCCAGTAAGCCAATTCTGGGGTCTGGTCCAGCCCAGCCTGGAGTGGGGTGTAGGAGGATCGGGGCGTGCAAACCAGCTCTGAGCACCCTCCTCTCCCAACATCCCTGATCCTCAGGGTGAGGGCTGTGAATGCCACGCTGCGATGTCAGGGATTTCTCCAGAGTGAAGGCTCTCTGCCTGTTGGATATTGGGCAGGAATTGTTCCCTGGCAGGGTGGGCAGGCCCTGGCACAGGGTGCCCAGAGCAGCTGGGGCTGTCCCTGGATCCCTGGCAGTGCCCAAGGCCAGGCTGGACAGGGCTTGGATCACCCTGGGACAGTGGGAGGTGTCCCTGCCATGGCAGGGGGTGACACTGGATGATTTTAGGGTCCCTTCCCCCCACAAACCAGAGTGGGGTTCTGTGCTAAGACTCATCTCAGTGTGGCAGTACCCCAAGAGCCCCCTGCCCACCCTTTGGGTGCCCCCCCACGCTGACCACCTGCCTCTGGTCACAGCAAATGGACGATGCCGTGCACACCTTCGAGACCCTGCTGCACCAGGAGCTGGGGAAGCTGCAGGGCAAGGACGACCTGTGCAAATCCATCCAGCGCATCCTCGAGAGGGTGCTCAAGGTGAGCCAAGGGCTCAGGGCCTTTGGTGGCCTTTGGTGGCCTTGTTACTAGGCCAGGGAAGAGGCCAGGAGTGATGTTGCCTATTTCAACAAGTCTTGTGAGGAAATACTTCTTTATATTGAAGTTTTCATGGATTTTGCTGGGGGCAGGCAAGTGGGAAATGATCTGGAGAAGCCTGGACCCCTGTGACCATATCTGTTAAAGCCCCCCAGGGTTCAGACTGGCCCCCAAACCCTCCTGCAGCCAGCAGTGGAAGAGCTGGCTCCCACCTGGGCTCAGAAACACTGGGAAACAGCTGGAGAGAGGGATGTGAGGCCAGAGGGGAGTGTTCTGTGCAAATGGGCTGGGGGGCAAATCTCAGGGGTTTGTGCCCTTGAGGAGGGGGCTGCCAGCCCACAGCCCTGGGTGACCTGGGCACCTTCTCACCCTGCAGAAATTTGACTATGACAGCAGCACTGTGAGGAAGAAGTTCTTCAGAGAGGCCCTGCTGCAGATCACCATCCCCTTCCTGCTGAGAAAGCTGGCCCCCACCTGCAAGGGGGTAAGAGGGGGAAGTTTGGGGTGCGGGGAAGGACTGTCCACCCCCGTGGAGGGGCTGGAGCATCCATTCCCCCCAACCTTCTGGGCTGAGCCACCTCTATCCCTGGCAGGAATTAGCCAAGTTTCAGGAGCTGATCTTCGAGGACTTTGCCAGCTTCATCCTGGTGGAGAACACCTACGAGGAGGTGGTGCTGCAGTCGGTGATGAAAGACATCATGCAAGGTAGGGTCCCGTGTGAGGAGGGGGTGACCCTCAGGGGGTCTCTCAGGAGGGGTGATCCCATTAAGGGGATCAGCTCAGGGCTGTATGAGATGGGGTGGCCCCATACAGGGTGCTGGGGGTTCTATAAGGAGGGGTGACCCCATACAGGGTGCTGGGGGTTCTATAAGGAGGGGTGACCCCATACAGGGTGCTGGGGGCTGCCCCAGCAGCAGCTTTCCCACCTCGCTTCCCCATGGGGAGGACTGGGCACGGTGACCCAGCCTGGCAGTGCCAGCAGCCCCCGTGACCTGTCCCCTCCTGTCCCCAGCTGTGAAGGAGGCGGCCGTGCAGCGGAAGCACAACCTGTACAGGGACAGCATGGTGATGCACAACAGCGATCCCAACCTGCACCTGCTGGGAGAGGGCCTGCCCATCGACTGGAGTGAGGAGTACAGCGGGCAGCCCGAGGCCGAGCCGGCGGCCGAGCGGCGCCGCAGGGCCAAGCAGGTGGTGTCGGTCATCCAGGACGACGAGGGGGCCCTGCCCTATGGGGCTGAGGCTCTGCTGCAGCCCGGCTCCCCCGAGCCTCAGGAGCCAGAGGAGGCACATCCCGGGGTGCCCCCGAGCCCCCCGGATGCGGTGAAGGAGATCCGGGAGGCGCTGGCACAGGAGAGCCTCGGGGATGGTGCCGGGGTGGAGGAGCGGCTGGTGAATGGCACCGACGCCGGCGGTGCCAGCGAGGAGGGGCTGCTGCTGGCAGGGGCTGCCCAAGGGGATGTCACACAGCAAGGTCCAGCCTGTGATGGGGATGGGGTGCGCTGTGTGGCATCGTCACCTGTCCCTGGAGCTGAGATCCCATCAGGGACTGGGAGAGAACGTGCCACACCAGCATCGTCACCTGGCCCTGGAGCCGAGGTCCCGTCAGGAGCTGGGACGCGCCGGGCTGCACCGGCCCCGCCTGTGCGGGGAGCTGAGGTGTCATCGGGGGGGCAGTGTGCCACACCAGCATCGTCACCTGGCCCTGCAGCCGAGGTCCCATCAGGGACTGCGAGACAACGTCCTGAACCAGCATCACCTGTGCCCAGAGCTGATGTCCCATCAGAGGCTGAGGTGCCACACGCCGCACCGAGATCATCCGTGCCAGCATCCCCCGTGCCCAGAGCTGACTCCCCGTCGGTGTCCAGCGTGCCACACGCCACAGCAGCACCAGCCAGCCCCCCAGCCGATGTCCCAGCAGAGGCCAAGGTGCCCCAAGTCACAGCAGCACCACCCGGAGCCCAGAGCCTGTCACCAGGGTGGCACCAGCGCAGCGAGATGGAGATGGGCGAGCACGGGGAGCACAGCCCCCCACAGCCCAGGGCCACCATGGAGAGCGGTGAGGGGGTGCAGACTGAGTTCTAGCCCCAGCCCCCTGCCACGGACTGGCCCCAGTGACGCTGGGGCTGGGGGAGGGGGATAGGACCCCCGGGATGGAGAGCGGCACCGTGGGAGAGGGAGGGGATGGGGACACCGAGACCTTGCTGCCTGACGGGGGCCAGGCCCACAGCCCCTACTGGGTCAGACTAGGGGTGGCCCCAGTCTGGCATGGGGCATCCCCTGCGCTCTGCTCTGTCCTTCTTCTGCCTTACTTTCTTTCCTACTGAGGAGATGCTTTACTGAAGAGCTTTATCTGCCCCCCACACCAGTGCCTGGGGCTGCCGGGGGGGCTGGCACTGGCCCTGCTCAGGGTGGGTGTGTGGGATGGGACCCTCCTGGCTGTCCCCGGGGGTGTCCCTGCCCCAACCCAGGCGTTTCCTGCCCACTGCCACCCCCCCGGCCGGCTCCGGGAGCGCCAGTGGGAGCAGGGGCTGCAGGGGGTGATGGAAACCAGGGTGGCAAACGGGGACACGACAGGGACAGCAACGCCGCGGGGCCTGAGCCACTGCTGAGGGGGAGAGTGCTGGGACAGGCGTGAGCCCCAGGCCAGGCTCAGAGCATCCAGGCTGGGCTCAGAGCATCCAGGCCGGGCTCAGAGCATCCAGGCCGGGATCAGAACATCCAGAGCCCACCCCAGCCATCCTCACCCCAGGGTGTTTGAGGAGATATTTTAAGTTCAGAGTTAAATCTCTGGGGGAAGGTGGCACTCATGCTGTGTCCCAGCAGTGCGTGGCAGGACTGGGGTAATTCCAGGTTCAGCTCGCTGTGCAGAGGAGAGATCCCAGCCCCTGCCCTCCAGATCTCAGCACCTGCTGATGGTTTCTCCAGCTTTGCAGGTTTTGGCACCTGCTGTGATGGCTCAGCAAAGAGCAGGGCTTTGCTGAGCCCCCATCTGTCACAGGGATGGGACAGGACTGCTGCAGCCCCCACACAGCGATGCCAAAAGCCCTGGAGGTGCTGGGGGTCTGCAGGACTCCTGGGTGGGACACCTGGAGCAGGGACCAGCACCCCGACACCCACCTGTGCTTAGGTGCCACCGTTCCTGCCCCAGAAGGGGGGTGCCCAGCCTAACCCACTCGGGGGGGCCCCCAAAGTGCCTTGGGAGGCCCCCCTCAAAGTGCCTTTCTCTGTGAACTTCAAACCTGTCTCTTCCAGGATATTTTATTAAGAAAGTTATACAAATGTTTAAAGATATGCTTATAATAATTAATAAAATGGAAAAGCTTTATTTAAAGCCAGAGGAGACTCTCCTTATTCCTGAACCGCCGCCCTGGGTAGGACTGGGGATCCCAGTCCCACTGTGAGCCAGGGGTGGCACATCCTGAGCCCAGCCAGCAGTGACACAAACCAGGAGAGGAGCTGAGATGATTTTATTAGAAGGGGGGTCCTGAAGAAGCAACAAGAGGCACCTGGAGCAGCATTTCCCCCCTGGCACAGCCACACCAGCGGCTCACGGGCTGCTCCAGCCCCATCCCTGAAGCGCAGGAGCGGGGTGGGGGTGGCAGCACCCCCCCAACATCCCCGAAGGCACTGTGTGAAGAGGGGCTTGGTGCAGGGCAGCTCTGGGCAGGGGTCCCTGAGCCCAGCTTGCCCCTTCCCCCAGCAAGTCACTGGATGGTTCCCGTTCCAGCCAGGATGAGCCTCCTCAAAAAGCAGGGAGGGGAGGAAATGCCAGCATCCCCCCGCTGTCATCACCTGGACAAAGGTCCCTGAGAGCCAGGGGACAGCCACCAGCTGAGGAGCTGCACATGGGGCTCCCCGTCCCCAGAGCGGGGCCCCCAGCAAGTCCTTGGGTTTCTGCATCCCCCAGAGCACGGGGACAGAGACAGACCCAGCAGAAGTGACAGCAGCTTTCCCAGACAAAGGGGCAGGAGGTGGGACACGGTGGGGGGCTCTAGCCCCGGCCGAGCAGGGGGTACACCATGAAATAGCCCAGCGTGGAGCCCACGATGGCCCCCAGGAAGATCCAGGCGTTGTAGGACATGACAGCCAACATCACCATATAGCCCAGCACCACCTGCACCACGTGGAACAGCGTCTGGCCCACGTGGAACCAAAACCACCTGGGGAAGGAGATGGGATTGTGCATCAACGAGGGGCTGGGGCAGCTGGAATCACCTCCCAGCAGGAGCCTGGGGTGGCCAGAGGGGGGTCTGGGGAGCAGGGAGAGGGATGGGGGCTGCAAACAGCAGCTCAGGGGGAAATCCCGCTCCAAAATCAACGAGGCTGGCAGTAAGAGCAGCCCCAAGAATGATCCAGGATTAAATACAAGAGATAAAATCCAGGGGTTGGCTCCAAAGGAAGGAACTGTCAGGGCCAGGCTTGTGAGGACAGAGTTGCTGCTTGTGCCCATCCCCAAATCAGTAGGACCCTCCTGCACCCACAACGGCTTCTGGAGGGGAACATGAGCCTCTGGCCACCACCCTGGACATCTCCCAGAGGATCTGGAAGGGCTGGGCTGCCCCTGGAGCCACCTCCCCAGGCTGTGCACACCCCCCTTCCCTGGGAGCCTGCAACTCCTCCTCACAGCTCTTCTCCCTGCTGTGCTGGCCACGGGGCCACAGAGCCATCCCTAAGCCCCCCCAGTGGGTGCTACAGGGGTCCCTGGGGTACCTGCCCTGCGCAGGGCCACTGTCCCCCTGCTGGGGCTCGGTCAGGGCCTCCTGGCTGAGGCTGTGGGGCAGGGCCAGCAGCGCCCGCCGCAGCAGAACGGCCTTGCCCATCTTCACGGCCTCGTAGAGCACGGACAGCAGCAGGATCACCAGCACCGAGAGCACCATCCCTGCAGGAGAAACATCCCAGCACTGCCCAGGCAAGGGGGAGAGGCTGTGGGGGTGACAGGGGCACAGCAGGGCCTGGCACAGAGTGTGTGGGAATATCCACAGGGTGAATTGGAGGGCTCCTGGCACTGGGGTTGTTAAATGTCAGGAAAAGGTGTATTTAGCCTTTTAATTCACAGAATTAAGTAGGAAAAGCCCAGGGAGGGAGGGATGGAGGGATGGAGGGATGGATGGAAGGATGGAGTCCCAGTGCTGGCAGCCTACCTGTGGGGCTGTGGACATTCCAGAAGTCAAAGAGCAGCACTGCTGTGTCCGAGAAGTAGAAGGTCATCTGGAAAAGAGGCCAGGGAAGGGCAGTGCTGAAGCCCCTCAGGTGCCCACCCTGTCAGCAGGTCCCACCCTGGGATGCTCATCTGGGGATTCACCAAATGGTGCAAGTTTTTTCCCCAGCTGTGAAACGGGAAGAGGAACTTGCACGGACAATCACAGTCACGCTGACTGGGTTGAACTTTTCCCGTCACCTCCAGCAGCAGCTCCTGTGAGTGTCTGAGCTGTGACAAAAAGCCAGTTTACCCCTGTGACAAAGAGAGATGAATCTAGGGCTTCATCCACGTGGATTTGAGGAGGGAAAGTCCCTGAGGAAGCTGAGCAGAGCCTCTGCTCCTCTCTGCCTGCCAGGACAGAGAAACGTCCTGCACTGCCAGGACACCCAAAAACTCAACCACTGAGGCACCCAGAGCCACAAGTGTGAGCACCCAATGATGGGGACCAGGTCCAGGGGTGCCTCCCTGACAGAGGTGCATCAAACCCAACACTGCCAGGACCTGCAAAGGCACCACCCCTCCTCCTTCACTCCGCTGAAACAGGAGGAGCAGGAATTGCTCTTGTGTAACATCAGCTGCAGAGCTCGTACCCAGCTGCCACGTCCTGCCCAAAAGCTGGAATTTTGTTGGGTTTTTCACGCTGCCTTTGGTGAATCTCTCTAGGAGGTGTTTGTGGAGCTCACGGCTTCTCCTCTCCTGCATGGATCCGTGTTTGGATCCGTGCTTGGAGGCTCTTTCCTGCCTTTTGCAACTCCAGCAGAGGTGACTGACAGCACCAGGACCAGTCTCAGCCTGAAATACCATCCAGTATCTTGTGGGTGTTCAGGCCACAGCCTGGCTCCAATTACACCCCTCGGCCCTCCTTACCCAAAGACATTAGCACATGTAATTAGCTCAGCCTTTTAAGCCTCCTTTGGCCACAGATTAATGATAATTAGCTTTTAAATGAAACTATTTCTCCTTTACAGGCTTCACCCACAGGTCTGCAATGTGGTGGAAGGAGCAGGTGACTGTTTTAGGGATGGGGGACAGAAGTGATGGGCAGAATCAGAGTCATAAACTTTGGAAAAGCCCTCTAAGACCATGAAATCCAAACATTCCCCCAACACTGCCAAGGCCTCCACTAAACCCTGTCCCCAAGTGCCACCTCTCTATGTTCTTTGAACAATTCCAGGAATGGTGATTCCACCCGTTCCCTGGGCAGCCTGTTCCAGAGATCCAGACGATCCAGAAGATCCAGAAGATCCCTTTGCTGCCCCAGCCTGGGGGGGAACCACATAAAATGATGCTCCTTGGGCCAAAAGCTCCTCTCCTACAGCAATGCCACAGAGAGATTTCTTGGTGGATGAAGGTCAAGAGGGCAAAATCTTAAAAATTCCAGCATTCCTCCCAGTAGGGAAGAGGCACCGCTGCCAGGGAGATGTCCCACAAAGCAGGGATTGAGCAGGGGTGAGGCTGCACCCAGCTCCTCCCCCGCAGGAATTCACTCCGGGAAAATGAGCTGTTGGGAAACCTCCTCTACTCAGTGTGCACTTAGAGCTGGATCTGCTGCAGTTTTGGGATTATTCTTAGCAAAACCTGCGGTGCCTGCACAGAGCAGTGCCAGGCTGCTGCTCCAGTCCAGCAGGGATGTCTGATGCCACACTTTGGGATAAAGCTGCCTTCCTGCAGCACCCTGACCCAAACATGAACAGCACAGTGTCCCATGGGGGTGTCCCCAAACTGGGATCCTCCTCGGGAATGGTGTCACCCTCCAGGCCTTGCTGCTTCCAACAAACCAGGCTTAAACATCCAATAGAACCAGGGAATGGTTTGGGGGCTGGAAGGGATCTTAAAACTCATCCCATGGGCAGGGACACCTCCCGCTACCCCAGGCTGCTCCAAACCCCATCCAGCCTGGCCTTGGGCACTGCCAGGGAGATTGAAGGAGTTCTGGGGGGATTCATGAGACTCCAGAGGGGACCTTGGGGGTTCCAGAGGGGATTTAAGGGGTTCCAGGGGGGATTCACGGGGTTCCAGGGGAATTTAAGGGGTTCCAGGGGGATTTAAGGGGTTCCAGGGTGGATTCACGGGGTTCCAGGGGGATTTAAGGGGTTCCAGGGGGATTTAAGGGGTTCCAGGGTGGATTCACGGGGTCCCAGGGG